ATTTTGGAAATAGTCAACTTTTTTGAAAGTGTTAGTGAAAATGGATGCCGTGACCTTTAATTAAGATTCAAGTGGTACTATCACCATAACTGAAGCCCCATTCTCAAAAAAAAATAAAATAATAGCTAGTGGCAATTTGGCGCCTTACCTTTTGGTGAGAATGGCTCAACAGTATTACTCCCAGGTCTAGCCCAATCGCAACTTTCATTATTTATGGGTTAAGGGGAAATACTTACTATACTTCTCCTACCCCTACTGCATAGAAGGTATGTGGTTCCCTCCTATCTAGCTGCCCAATTAAGTGAGCCACTTACCCGATCTAGATTTGGCTTTTTAGAGTATTTTATTTTTAGTTATTTCTACAAATTATATAAATATGAAATTTGGTACGTGCTAACATCTCAATGGGGGTGTACTTAAAGAAAATATTAAAATGAATTTTTGGATAAAATATAATGACCAAAATATCCTTTTGGTTATTTTATTTTATCGAAAATATTTTTTGGTTATTTTATTTTAGGGATATTTTGGTTATTTTATTTTATTGAGAATATTTGTTTATAAATATTTTTTATAGATGCAAGTTTAAGAGAGTAGTGGACGTCCAAAATTTGGTGCCAAAATATTTTGTAAAAAAAAAAAAAAATAGTAGAGAGATGTGATATTGCGATTGGGGTCATCTCAACCGTCCATTCAAAATGATCTGTTAGATAGAGGGATTTATATAAGTTTGTCTTTATGAAAGTAGCTAATCTCTACTCAAACAAAGATGTAAACAAAGGCAATTTCAGTAGTTAGAAGGTGCTACATGAAATGATTTATCAATCTTATTTGTTAATAGAAAATTTTACTAGGTACAAATGGGGATTGAGGAATATAGACATCCGAAGAAGTAGCAATGTGGGCTCCATCTAGGGCCAATTAATCTTAGTAGGGCCTAGAGTTGATGTAGTTGCCCGGAGGAGAGTACTCGCAGACAGCAAGCGTGTCTCCGCTATCGCATATAATCTTGGCACAGCCGACTCTTTCGGTGTTCCTCCACACGATCTGAGTGTAGTGGGTGCAGTCAGGTCCATTGCAAACATTGAGGTTGTGGTCGTAATATTGCTTTTGAGTTACCCATGCGGCGACAATATCAGTGATGTCCCAATTTCTGCCACTCCCCCAAAACATGTTTTCTCCAAGTGGCCCCTCGGAATGCATCAGAGCGCAATCAGTTCGACGTTGTCTAGCATAGCCGCGGGCAAACTCGGCGAGCCTGGGTTCCCAAACCAAGGGGGCCACGCCCACCTCTGCCCTAGCCATGTTTTGTGGATCAAGGAAAGCTCCTACTCCCACTGGGCTTGTGCTATTCCCGTTCGAGGTCACCCCAGCATGAATTCCCATTGCAGCCACAAGGAGGGCCATGAGCACCATTTTCGAAACACAACACGGATTCGCCATCTCAGGTCCTTCTCAGTCGAATGAATCGAGTAACGAGGGACAATTGGTTCGTTTTGGTTTGGGTATGGATTTTTGGATGGTTAATGGACTGCACGATTGGGCCATATATATATACACATATTGGGAGGTTATAATATTAGGAGTTTGAGTAGGTTTTAAGGAGTGAATATACGGCGCAGAATAGCGAACCATATACATTGTAATGTTTTGCTCAGTTGAAAAGATAACGGCTGACTTGCTTTTGTGTTTTGGTTGAGGTCAGAATATGTGGCTTGTTCATTGATCCTAAAAAATTTCCGGCTGCGGTCTATCTTTGTTGAGTGCGCACGAGAGAGAGAGAGAGGATTTTAGATCATTAAATAAAGAGTGTGGTTTGCATAGAGCTGATGCTCTAAACAATTAAAATAAAGCACG